GCTGCACAGACAGCCGCTGGAGCCTCTCTGGGGAAACGGGTAGCACTCGTCTCTGGAAAGTACAATGCTTTCGTCCACCAGGAAAGGAATCCTGCTAACTCTTGTAAAACATAACTTGGCAAAGCTGGGGGAAAATCCTACTGCAGACTCGAACATTTGAAAGAACACTGCAACTTAATAGAGTATCCTCTCTGCTTCTCTGCTCACTCCCCCAGCTTTTAATTAATTTAGAAGGCGGCCCTGTTGAGAGGAGAGGAGAGGAGAGTGGAAGGTACATTCACATCTGCACATCTGCATCTGAATTACTGGTGCTCTACAGGGAACTGAGCTGCTGCTGAGAGAGGCACCAGGCCTCCTCCCCCTCACCAGAGGCTTCCCATCAGGTCAGCCAGCGGGATTTGGTGATGCACAGACCACATCTAGAGCCGAAAACCCAATCAGATAAAAGTGTCAGTCCATAAGGGCTAGGCTGTGCTGTAAGAGCAATCTTCAGATCTCAGTGGCTGAAAGCAGCAGAGGTTTATTTCTTACTCTACATGCCCATTGTGCAGGGGCTGAAGGGGGACCTGTTCTTTGCATTTATTCGGTGGGGGGGGGTGTCTCAGGATGACTAAACAGCTAGCATCTCAAACATTGCTATTGCCAACCCCAAAGGAAAAGAACACCGATAAGGGTCTTAAAATAGGCTCACGTTTCTTTCTTTCAAAGTCCATTGCCCCAAACTGCCCATATGACCTCCAAAAGCATCAGGGGTTCAAGGAAACCAGACTGGAAATGTTTAGCAAGGAGCCCTTGGAAAGACCGCAGTGAACTTCACAGGCCTGGGGAGGGTGACAGCTACTGAATGGATGCTTCAGGGAAACAGGAAGAAGGGGGAACGATGCATTCTATTCATTGGTGAATGAATCTTGCCCACAAAAATCTCTCAATCCAGTAAAATGGCAGTGCGGGATGACAGCTCACGGTAAAAAATAGAAACACAGAAAGGAACTGCAAGGCTGAAGGAGTCCAAGAAAGAGTACACAGCTCAGCAGAATGAGTGATGGTTTCACAAATAAGCGGCATCCAGTCAAAGCCTTTAAGAATGAGTAGAATTTGGATACATGGAATTTGTGAAGAGGAGGGATAGCCTGGGCCAGTGGTGCCAAACTGATGGCATGTGCTACTTTTCTTTAAGGACAAAAGATGCCAATGTATGAAGTTTTTTCCCCCCTAAACTAAAACCTCAGTATTCAGGTTTAATTGCAGTGTTGGCACATTGTGATAAAAGAGTGGGTTTGGGGCATTTGTCTTAGGTCTAGGCTGAGGCATCCACACAAGTGAAGACCCAGAGCAGAAAAACTCTTAGGGCTGCTGGGGATTTAGCTCAGTGGTTCCTCTGCGTGCCTCACAAGCCCAAGGACCTGCGTTTGATCCCCAGTACCAAAAAATCTCTTAGGGCTGCTAAGCACTCTGTGTTTAAAGGAGACAGGGAATCCCCAAGCTCAACCACCACTGGTCAGCCCATGCAAAGCACAGGATTTCTACCCAAGAAGCTTTTTTTTTGTCCCCTGCCATGAGCCCCACACCACCAGATTCTAGCCCTAGCACCTGTCTTGTTCTTGCCAACCACCTTTATTGTGAATAGCTCTGCTGGCCCCTCTTTTTGTGGCTTGGTGGCTGCTCCCAAATGGACCAATCCCTGGGGAAGGCAGCACCTCCCTGATCTTGAGAATCAGCCCAGCTGCTATAGTCACCCACTTAACCTCTTCCCTCTCTGGGCTGCTGTGCAGTCGGCAGCCACTTGAGACTTTCTGATTTGTGCTGTGTGCTACTCCCCCGCAGGGTGAGCCTTGCCCACGCATCTGATGCCCTAGCAGAGGGCATGGCCTCCCCAAGCTTCCCTTTAGCAGCAAGCCCATGAGGGGATCCTAGGGCCACAGGGAGTGGCAGCAGAAGTCCATTCAGGAGAGGATGAAGGCTGAGTCAGGCACAAGCAGTGCACGAGGAAATAAGGGCACCTGTACAAGATGCAGTGGCTCCAGAGGGGGAAATGCCACAGGGCCTGCTGCTGAGCTAAACTGGAGTGTAAGGAGAGGAAAGGGGTATTCATAAGGTTGTGTGTGTGTGTGTGTGTGTGTGTGTGTGTGTGTGTGTGTGTGATGTGTGTCTGCTGGGGTTTGAACCCAGGGCCTTTGCACTAAGCTACATCCCCTACCATTTTTATTTCTTAAGACAGGGTACTGCTAAGCTGCTAAATTCCCATGCTGGACTTGAACTTGCAATCCTTCTGCCTCAGTCTCCCAGAGCACTGGGATTAACTGAAATTCACCTCTATGACTGGCTTCATGCTGTTGGACTCTAGTACCTTGAATAAAATGCTGCTTGGACTTCCAGAAGGGAAGGAGGCGTGTGTCACCATACCCGGCTAAGTGTTACATGTTTTTATACTTGGGAACTGAGTGTTCTATGTCTTCCACAGAAGCCAGCAACAGGGGGACAAGGACAAATGATGAGCCCAGTTTGGGCCGAACTGAGTTTGAGAGGCTGGAGGAGGGATGTCTGCAGACAGGTACAGCTGAAGATGCAGTTGGCAGAGAGGTCGGTGTGAGATGTTAATTTACAGAACTCACAGAGGCAGTGAGACACAAAGACAGGAGGCTAACACTGCTAAGTGGGTTAAGTAGGTGAAGAGAGCCTCAGAAAGAGGTTCTTCCGGAACCATCAATGTTTAGAGGTTAAGGAAAAAGGAAGGGATGTGAATAATAATGGAAGAGTGTCCACACAAAGCTGATCAATGAAAATGCTGATGAACAAAAACAGATCAATCGAGGTCTTCATAAAATGATTCTCCATTAACAAGCCCATCCAAGTTGCTTTCATATAACTCTATTTATTAAATCCCATTTTCACCCACATTTGCAATGCGCCTTTTTTCTACTCTCAGCTCTGCTCTTGCCTTTCAGAAATTGTGGTAATATACATATCCAAAGTGACCATTTTAACCATTTTTTTCTTCTAATTTTTATAGTACAGTTCAGTAGCATTAAATACATTCAGATTGGTGTGCAACCACTACCACTCTCCACCCACAGAATTTTTCATCTTATAAAGCTGAAGCTTCATTCCCATTAAACGATAGCTCCCATTCCTTCCTGTCCCCAGCCCCTGACAACCGCCATTTTAGTCCCCAGCCCCTGACAACCGCCATTTTACTTTCTGTCTCTATGGATTTGATGACACTGGATACTTTGTATGAGTGGAATCGTACGCAACGCTTATTTTACTCAGGGCAATATCTTTAAGATTTATTTGTGTTACAGCTTGTGTCAGAACTTCCCTCCTTTTTAAGGTAGAATAATACTACACTGCATGAATTCACCACAGTTTTGGTTTGTTTCGTTTTGCTTTTGGTGGTACCGGGGATCAAACTCGGGTCCTTGTGATTGCAAGGCAGGCAGCGGAACCACTGAGCCAAATCCCCACAAATCCTCACCACATTGTAAAAATCCATTCATCTGTCAAGTGAACACTTATATTACTTCCATCTCCTGGCTACTGTCAATGTTGCTATTCTGAATATTGTTGTACAAAAATCCGCTGGAATTCCTGCTCTCGATAATCCTTCTCAATACCTACAAGTGGAATTTCTATCATTAAATTCTGTTTCATGTTTTGAGGACCCACCCAGGTACACACTATTTTATATTCCCATCAGCAGTTGCGCAAAGAATTCTGATATATCCACCTCTTCACCAACATTTTTTGATGGCAGTGTGCTGGTGGATGTAAAATGGTATCTTATTGTGATTCTGAGCTACGTTTCTCTAATAGTGACGTTGAGTATCTTCTTTCAATTTTTATTTTTTATTACTACATGTTTGTAGTACGTAATGATTACATTCCTTGTGGAGAGTCAGCACATGTACACAACACATCTTAATTCATTTTGCATCCCTTTCCCCTCCGTCCCCCTTCCTCTGTGCAAAAGACCTATCTCCCTATTTCCTAATATCTTTATTTTGCTCTTTATACTTTGAGTTTCTCATATAAGAGAAACTATGCAATATTTAAGCTTATGTGTCTGATTTACTTCATTTAACATGATGGTCCCAGGGTGCATCCATTTTTCTACAAATAACTCAAGTTTGTCCTTCTTTTATGGCAGGGTAGTACTCTTAGTGTGTAAATACCACCATGCATATGTTGTAGATACATAGGTCACCTTCAAGATCTAGCATAGTAAAGGGATACATATAGCACTGTGAAGTGATGTTTTTAACTCTTTCAGAAATATATTTAGAAGGGGAATAGCTGGGTCAAATAGAATTTCTACCTTTAGTTTTTTGTCATTGAGCATATTTTCATGTGCTAATTGGCCATTTGTTTATCTGATTTAGAAAAATGTCTAAGCCCTTTGCCCATTTTGAATTAAGCCAGTTGTTGCTGCTGTTGGTGGTGTTGTTAGTGAGCGGTAAGAGTTTGCTATATATCCTAGCTATCAATCCCTTATCAAATATGTGATTTGTAAAACTCCATGTGTTACTTTTTTTTTTGGTACCAGGGATCCAACTCGGATCCCTTGAGAGGCAGGTAGCAGCACCACTGAACTAAATCTCCAACCTTCATGTGTTACTTTTTAATGCTGTTAAAAAGTCCTTTGATACACAAAAGTTTTTAATTTTGATGAAGTCTAATTTGTCTCCTTTTT